AAGAAAATAGCAGGGAAAATGAAGACTGTGAGGGAGGGTTGAACTGGGAGTTGATGAGCAGCAGGAGGAGAAGGACAAGGTGCACCTGGCTCGTACTGGGAACCTGTTGGCACTTGAATATGGTGGTTTCCTGACTACATGTTGTCTTTCCCAGCTTCATCTCCACTCCCCAAGAATGATGTTGAACAACATTAGCTCTGAGTGCTTACCTGCCTGTGAGATGACGTGCACGCAGCCATGTGCCTACAGCAGAAGCCTTGAGCCCTGTGTGGCATCGTGTGGGGACTCGAGAGCCATGGTGCATGCCCCACCGGTCGTCCTCGCCTTCCCAGGCCCAATTCTCAGCAGCTGCTCTCAGAAGAGCATTGTGGGACCATCATTTCCCCAGCCTTATGGTGCTTGGATCCCATACAGCTCTGATGAGTCTTATGGGATGGGAGGTTCCTTTGGTTCAGGGGGCATGTCAGGGATAGGAGGTTCCTTTGGTTCTGGGGGCATGTCAGGGATGGGGGGTTCCTTTGGATCTGGGGGCTCCTTTGGGTATGGAGGAATGTCAGGGATGGGGGGCTCCTTTGGGTATGGGGGCTCCTCGAGGATGGGGGGCTGTTACAGCAGGAGGTCCTACAGCAGCAGCTGTGGCTCCCGCCTTGGAAACTGTGGCTCATTCTAAGGCAGCCTGAATACCCGCACAACACCTTGGGAGGTGAAAATGCAAGATCCAGATCCATAGCTGGGGCATGGCTTTCAGAGGTGGTGAAAGCCCATTGCATCAACGAAAGCCACCCTTGCTCAGTACCTCTGAAAACTGGGCCCACACCTCTTTCTTCCATGCTATGCCTCATCTTCAATCAATAGCAGTTTCATACGCTGGCTTCGCTCCTTAAATTCTTATTAGTCTTGTACTATTTCCTTTCTGGTGGAGTGGAAATGCTTCACAATTTGGAAGTGGGACTTTGCTGCAAAGATTTCAGCTTGACCTTGTAATGTGCAGTGCCTTTTATCATCAACACCGATGATCTGGCTGCCTTTGGACAACAGAATAGACCATTAATGAACTGCACCATTCTATTCTATAGCAGTTATTTCATGTCATATTAAGTCTTGTTGAATCACACTACTAGCTTTCCGGTTTTCCTTTTCTTCCATTCTGCTTTACAAACTAGTTTTAGTGAAATTGAACTCAGTGGGAGTCAAAATAGGAGGTGGAGCTCCATGTACGTAAAGGGAAGTAGAATTCAATACCCTGATGAGTGGCTGCATAAAAGCACCAGTCTCACTGTTCTTTCTGTGTAGGGAAGTATTTCTACACATTTTAGTGGCTGAATGAAGGAATCATTCCTGAGTACCCGTTTCAATTTGAGAACATTTTGGATAACGTGGTTGCAGAGGATGAGTTGTAGCTACATTCAGCTTCATGCAGTTGCACTCGCACAGTACTAAGAGGATCAGTCAGTGATTTTGAGGCTGAGCCAGGAATGTCTATATAAACTGCCATACACGTGACTTCAGCGAAGACGATGCCTCAGTTTACAAAGGAGAGTTACACCCCCACACAGTTCTTACTCAATAGGCTGAGGAATGAAACATTGAGCAATGAGAGTGAAAATTGCTGGGGCATTGCTGTCACAATCTCATCTGTGGTGCACTAGAGCAAAGTCAGAGGTGCACTAGAGCAAAGCCAGACGTTCCTGCATCAGTTCTACTCAGACTAAAACTGGAGTCGCAACAGCTAAGTAACTCCTTCAGTACTTTGGGACCCCAGTGTGTACACACACATCTCTGCACATGTCTTCAAGCAGCTGAGAATACCAATTCTGCACTAGGAGAGAGAATTTATACCCAAATAAAAGCAATCCTGCTTTACTAACAATCAAAATATATATTATTACTTAAGTCTGTGGATTATGATCCAACCAGCAGAACATCATTACTTTGCTTGATAGGCTTCTCATAAAGTAATGCCATTACTGCTGGGTGATCTAATTCAAGCAATATTCTGTTAACATTATGGTGCAGCACCTTATGTGCATAAACCCACAATACGAACAGAGCTATTTGAATATTTCTCCTAAGATTTTCTGATTGAAATTCCTGTTTCATCAAAATGCTTGCAGACATACTATCTTAGAGATCTTTGTAAAAGATATCAATGAAAAAAAAAAAATTAAAACCAGATGCAAAGTTGTGGTGGGAGAATCTGTTTCTCGGGCAGTTCTGGCAATGACTGCGCATGAGGTACTTTGTGATCCTTAATTCTGAACGAGCACAAGGGCATCCATGTAGCTGTTGCCTGAGGGATCCCATGGTGATGCTTAACAAGCTCAGATCATTTACTGCATAAATGCTTCAATTAAGTTAACAAACCACAAGGATTAAGACAATCAAAGGAAGGAAATGAGTGTTATGCTTGGCACAGCAGCACTTGCTCAGCCTACACACGAGCCCTCTCTTGTTATGAACAGCAGCGCAACCGAAATGGCTCCTAAAGAAAAATACCGATACAGCTCCTGGGGTGAATTTCTCAGCTTATTTCAAGGCATGTCACAGGGTGCAAGACTTGTCTGATTCTCCATTGCATACAGATGACTTCTTCCCATTTCTTTTGGCCCTGCCTGCCTACAATATTCAGATCGAGGCTAACCCATTTCCCTTTGCAGTCTGTAATCAGATAAACTATTTTACCATCAAGGCTAGATAAATCAGAGCACAACTTTACCTTCTGATTGAGTCAGGACACGTGCAGTCATTTTAACCTCCGCTGAGGGTTAAAACAATTTCCTCAGGGATATTCAAGGAATGTCTGGTCATGGTGATTTAGAATCATTAGAATCATTATCATTAAGGTTGGAAAAGACCTCTAAGATCATCGAGTCCAACCGTCAACTCAACACCACCATGCCCACTAAACCATGTCCCTAAGCGCCTCATCTACAGGTCTTTTAAATACCTCCAGGGATGGGGACTCCACCACTGC